AGCTTGAGAAATAGGAAAGTATAATTAAAAAAATGAGATAAATTCCAAACATTTGAACTTTCTTTAAACTGCTTAATTAAATTCGGTGTTCTTTTATATTCTTCATTATTCGCATTTGCTGTTTATTGCCTCTATTTCAAACATGTTAGAAGATGTTGTTATTGAAATTGATACTTTAACATAATTGAGTGTTTATGACATACCTAACTCATTATCAAAAAGTGAACATATTTTATTAACTTGTTAAAGAGAAGATTTTAAAATACATAGCTTCACTATAAATAATTATTTTTATGACATGAGAAAAATCACTGATTTCTACAAGCTGGTGGTCTAATTCTTGACTTTTATGGACTTTATATTTTGTATTTTTTTTTAATTAGGTTCAAATTTTCCTCTACAGATATTATTTTTACTTTAGAAAGTTATACCTAATATAAGTTTCAAAATAAAAGAAAACCCCGATATGATATTCTGCCGGCATCCACATATACCTCCTTTTTAAGTAATTTATTACATTATTCAAGAAGCGGTCTTGGAACAGGAAAGACTTGAATGTCTGACGCCACACGTTCTTCAAGACGCGTTTCCTCTTCTAATTCATATACGCAATATATTTATATAAAAAGCCATGCACAACGAATAACTTTCCATTTTATTAATTTTCAAGCACTAAAATATCAATTAAATCTAAAACCGGAATTGATCTCGGTTTTTGTCTCATAATTATTACCAACAGCAACGATTTCCTGACGTAATTCTTTGATCTTAACCCAGTTATTAGCCTAGTTGTAGACCCAAAGTCTGATTTGCATGGAGCTAATCACTCGTAAATTATTTTCACGCCTTCCAAGATATATTGGTAGCCAGAGGCTGATATTACACTACTTGATGCGCTCCAACAGACTATTATTTTTCTTTATAAAACCTTAAATCAGCCGAATTAAGGTCAAATTCTATTCTCTGTCTGGGTTACCCATATTCGTACAAAATTATTAAATTCATTAATTTATTTCTTTATTAATAATGCACATTAATTATTAGAATCACTTCACGTTGCTCGGTCACATTGCACATTTTTAATTCTCTCTTCACGTGTTTTCGTACATGTTCCCACATGTGATGTGGATTCTTTGCTCCAGATGCAATCTAGGTTATAGTTAATGGTTGATAATTTCATCCATTCATGACAACACCGAATTATTTTACACATATGCTCTTGCAAAAACTCATAAATATGGACTTCTTGTCATGGCCCAGTTTTTTACTTTCAAGCTTCATTACTATTCACCTTCTGGATTCTTACTTCACCCTCAGTATTGACACAATACAACACCATCCGTAAAATTTCTCTTTAAGATTGTTTTAAAATAGTTACTCGCAACGCAATTAAAAAACCGATGTACAGGTGAAAGTAGGTGATGAGACGAAGTTATTGACTCCGAAAACTTTCTTCCATCTAAACACCAAATGACTTACATCTCCAATTGTTACATTACATCATAAATTGCAGGTGCTCCTACTTTTGGCCATGTGTTCGATTGTGTGCACAGAACCGGAAAAACCACCACCGACTATCACCCGGACCGAAATCAAAGTCTCCAGAAGCTTAAACCCCGAAGACATGGAAACGCTAAACGTCATGACCAAAGACGGAAATGTGGCCCAACTCATCGTCAAAAGACGCGACCGCAAAACAGAACCACAAGAAGATGCAAGAAAAAACCAATTCTCAAGAGCCATTTACGCCAACTGGATACCAGTCTCCTCGTTTTACTACCAACCGAACATCATCCGATTAGACACAATTGCATTGGTTCGCAACTCGACTCAGGAAAAAAAACCCAACGTCGTGGATAGTGACAGGTGAGAATCTCAAATAAAATCTCAAAGTTTTAATTTTCTTCAAGTAAATTTTTCAAAATTTCTCATGTAATGTTTTGATATTTTCAGGATCCCTAACGTGCCTAAGCCGGTGACCATTCGCTCTGGTGACATTTTTATCAAAAACAATGAGCAAAAGCGAGCTCGATCTATCGTCCAAATGGATCAAGATGGTATTCCTGTGATTCACGGAGTGCGAGTCCCTGATGATGAGTCTGACCGGCAAACTTGGCGAAACGCTCGTGTCATCAATGGGGAATTAGTACCATATGAGGAAGGTTATAAGCCACCACCGGCTGTTCCCATTGGACAACTGATCTACGCGAGTCAAGTTAAAGACAAAGAAGATTCCAGAAGCATTGGTCCATTTACCAAACAAGATAATTACAAGAGTGAAGACAATCAAAATTCGTTTGGTCCCTTCACTATTAAAGACAATCTTCCGGCCGAAAAACCCAAACAAAATGAAGATTATGTCAGATTTAATAGCCAGTCGGGGATTGGCCCGTTTACGAAAGCAGATAATACTAAAATCACAAGCTCGAAATTGATCGATTACATCAAGGAAATCAACGCGAAGGAAAGCAAAAGAGATTATTTCGCAAGACGGAAGTACCGCTCGTATGATGAAAACACCCAAATGCAAAGAAGAATGTTGCAATATCCTGGCCAACCATCATATCCAAATTCCTTGTTATACACACCAACTTCCAAATTGAGTCCTGTGACTTTCAATGAAGGTGTCAGAACTCCGGTCTTGCAATACGCACATCCGGAGTTGGGAGTCCAACCAGCTAAAGCGACTCCAGAGGAAGAAGAATTGATTTATAAGGACAACCAATACGAAGTTGACAGTGGACGTCAATCCCAATACGATGAGGGTGTTAACAGTGTCAATTATTACCGAAAGGACGTAATCAATTACCCCTACAACACGTATTACATTAAACCAAAACCGGAACAACCGTTTTGGATCCGAATCACTGAAAGTATCAAAGATAACGTACAAAACGGTTTCGCAAGGATGCAACAATTGACTCGGCCGGTTTTCGAGCCTTTGGTGGAAGCGACTCACAAAATTTCGCACAATTTGGGATTCTCGAAAGAGCCACAAGCGCAAGAAAAAGTGGGTTTGATTGCCCCGATGGGCAGTTCGGTTATTTTGCCGGCTTTAGGGCTTGTTGCTGGAGGGGCAGCTCTGGGGCTTGGCGCTGCTGCTGTTGGGCGTTTCTTGAACCCCAACGACATGAGGAGTTTCAATGAAGTCAATCCGAACGATATCGTGGTTATTATGGAAGAGCCGCCGCAAGACAGCCACGAGGAGCATAAGAGGTACCGCCGGAATGCCGAAGATGAATATTACATGCAGCAATTAGTCGCGAATGTTGAGAAAGACAAAGGCTTGCATCATCTCGCCGCTCCTCATTTTTGGTCGGACACTTCGTGTGCGAAACGGCTGTTTTGCGAGGTGATGGTCCGGCAAAACGACGACGAGGTGGTCTTGATGGAGAAGAAAATGGACAGTTTGATGGCATCGTAAGTACTGTGGTTAGTTACGTAACGTGCTCACTGTTCCAATGCACTTGAGATTTGAATCGGAGTGAGTGTAGAAAGTAGTTTTTTGTTTGGTTTCATTGACGAGTCATGATTAGTTAAGTAGGACGGAGAAAGCTTTCATCTTTTCGTGGTTCTCACCACACCCAAGTAATCTTCGATAATCAGAACAAATCACTGTTATGTACCTTGGGGCTGCACAATTGTAACACCCGGAGGAAGCATAACACGTGGTATGGCCACCAGCGACGGAAATTTTTAAAAAAATATATGAATTTTTTTAGTAATATTTAACCACTCATGATTCCCTGATATCTGCGAAATTGGTGGAGATAATATGGTGACAATGTTTAAGCTTTTAAATTCAAAGTACAGTAGAACCTCGATAAATCGAACCTCTATATCTCGAAATTTTGCTAAGTTGAAGTGATTGGTTGGTCCAGAGCATTTATTTATTAATAGAAATCAATGTAATTTTTCTCTTTAAGGCGAATTCTTCTTTAAGTTGAACAGATTTCCGGTTCTCCACAGGTGTAAAGCTTCATAAGTTAATTTTTTTGAAATTCTCGCAATTTTATATAATGCGCATTAAGTTAATTTTTAAGGCATGTGTCTCTTTACACCAAATTCAAGGCCAGTGAACGCTTTTTAAAAAAACATGAAAAAAACATGTCAAGAGAGTCAAGACAAATGGATACAATCATATCTACATACATTTGCAATTTTAAAATTTTGTTGTACTTTAAGAATTTATACTTTATGCCATTAGAAGTTTTATAATTTTTATATAAAACAATACAAAAGACCAATATTCTATATCTAGAAATCTCGATTAATGGAATAATTTTTTTGGCAATAGGTAAGTACTTCGACTTAACGAGATTCCACTGTAGTAAAAATCTTATTTTTCTCAAATTGTGTCATAACTTTTTAATGTTATATGTCTAAAATTGCATATCATTAAACGGAATTTCATTTCAAGCTTGTATTTTAACTCATTTTGAAGTAACTTGAATACAGTAAGAGGCAAAATTATGCAATAATCTCATTAAAACTAAAAGTATTTTGTTTTGGCAAAACAGCTCAAACAGGTAAATTTTCATTTTTAGAAATACACAATTCTCAACTTGATTTAAAATTTTACACTTTTTGGTTTCTTAATAATGACGTCATCGACATTAAAAAAAAATAGGAACCCCTAATTTTGTTAAGCTATATCGATAGCTCTTTTAATTGTTAAAATAACCAGACCAAAATATTAAATATTACATGAGATACAAAAAACAATTTAAAATCAAGTTGAGAATTGTGTTTTGTTTTTTAAATTGACCTATTCGAGCATTTTTGTCAAAACAAAATATTTTCGATTTTATAAATCAGATTATTCCATAATTTTGCCGCTCACTGTGTATTATATATAAATTATATAAATAATTTCGGTTGAGGCAGTAAGTTTGTTGGTATACAAGGTGATTCACGAGGAATAATGAGCCTGACCAAATTCTCGATGCACCCACCATTACTTTTCGCAAGTTATTTTGCGACAACTTTAATGTTGGTTGCATCGAGAATTTGGTCAGGCTCATTATTCCTGGTGAATCATCCTGTATATGTATTTGTGAAGGTACAATTTTTAAAGCGTTGAAAGGTCAATAAAAAATATATCCCTACAACATTAACAAAAAGCAAGTTTTTTTTCCACTCTAAAATAAGAAAGAAAAGTGGCCAAAAATTTTACCTCCCCCATAGAAACTAAAAAACATGCTGCTACATTTAACGGCGAAACTGGTAAATTGTTAGTTTTGGAGTTTTTCTTGCTGGATTGTAGAAAATTTATACATGATGTTCCCTTTTTATTGTTACAAATTTAAACAGGCTATGAGAAGAGGAAACAAAGAAGTTGCATCCTAAATTGTAACTCTGTTCAATGTTATTTGTGGCTTTTATTGGCAAAATGCTTGTACTTTTACTAAATAATTATAAAAAAACATATACAAGATCATCAGTATTATTAAATAGACATAAAAAAATGTCAAATGTAAAAACAAATGTCAGAGTTTTTTTAATTTTTTCAGTACTCTCAGGGACTACGCAATTACTCCTTTTCAAGGAGGTGGGCTACTTTCCGGAGACCTGTATGTTTATAGAAAAATTTTATCTTGAAATTAAATATTCTATCACCTGTTTAAATTTGTAACAATAAAAACGGAACCCCCTGGATGTGATACAAATAGTAAAATAACTATTCTTTTCAATGAGAAAAATTTCTTTGATTAACAATGTTTTTTTTTGTACATATTTGCAAGTGCAACTTAGCACAGGAAAACTTGAAAAGGTACCTATTTAATTTATAATTTTAAGTTAACGTATTATTACTAAACCTTTATAAAACGAATATGTGCGCAAAACGGTTTCAGAGCTTTAAATTGTTGGATTTATTCATCAAATATAGAATTGCAAATTTTGCATGATACGCAATGCCGTCTAAAAAAGTTAACTTTGAGCTCAGCTCCAGGCACAGAAAATGTAACACCCAGTGATTTATTCACAATGCCCGGAGGCTTTGCCATATATTGATCAAATTTACAACAAAGATGCTCTTACATAAGCCTTTGTCGGGTTTTTCCATGACAAGTCAACAATGAAGCTTACATAAGCTAAAAAGTGTGTAAATAATTATAGCGGATTTGTTGTAAAGAGGTTAAATCGTCGGAGATGAGTCTGGTCTGGAATGCTGATTAGCCGCGAGCTGAAAGTGGTTACTTTCACTCCGACACAGACAATAAGGAGCCGTTGGTAGCACAAAACGTTATGCCATCTTTAATATTATAATCACACTAATAATTGTCTATTTTTTGCTTCAGGGTACATCCAGACGTGGCCAATCAAGTCTCGCATCATCTTCAACAGGTTATGGATTCTGTCAAAATGAGAGACTGCTCAAAACTTTACTGCAACAGGAGGTATCCGTTTCCGGCTCCGGCTGCATAATCTAATTAGCTATCAGAAGAACCATCCATGACGAACGCATCTGAATATTTATTTTTTAATGTTAGTAGTTTCTTTTGAAACATTATATTAATGTTACCTTTTTATTGAATATAATATGTTAATTACAATCAATTACAGACGACTTTGTCTGGCTTTTTGCCATATTTGTGTATGTATGGTAGTAAATTGATGAGTACAGCAAGCGCCAAAATTGTAAAACAGTTTGCAAAATTGGTTAAATCGGTCGGTAATTGTGCAAACTGTCCATTTTATTACTTAGTAAATTGTCAGTGCTAAATAAAGTGATAAATAATTGTACATAGTCACCCTCACTTCTTTTAATTTATAAATGTTACGCTAAGAGATAATTTCTGTTAACTATTTCCAATAAAGCTATAAACCATAGATTTTTTATTTGTTATCACAAATTCCACTTTTTGCTAGTTAATCCAGATTTCTAGTTTTGCAAAGTTTTCCGTTAACTGGCGCCAACTCGTTTCTAGAGAGTTGTTTACCAAATTTTTGCATAAAGAGTAAAACAAGTCTATTAACAGAAGAATTCAAATTTATTCACAACTGACCCAAAAAACTGTACATCTTTACAAAACTCATTGTTTCTCATTCAATCCACATCTAAATCTAGCGCAATCACCTCCTGTTAACCCGACATCAGCAGCTTGCTCTACTTCCTTCAAAACATATTCATAGCTCCTGTCAGGATCAAGCGCCAGCATTTTTGTTGCTTTGAGTAGCATATCACCGGCTGAAACGTATTTCTTCGCTTGTTGAGGTTGTTGACATGCTACGTTTTGCAGACATCCGTTATCACCGGGCGAACCTTAAAATTAAACATCAATCATCGCATCAGATTTTTTCAGGTCAGTATTATTCCCACCGGTTAAGTAACTCAAGAAAAGTAGAACTTCGTCTTCGGTGAGGATTTGTTCTTCACCGTCGCTGCTACGACCCAAACCGCCCTTCCAAGTACCGGTCCCTAAAGACCCAGCGGCGAAAATCAGTGCTTTGAGAAGGACCAAAACGAGCAAATTTGTTAAGTTGAGAGAGACCACTTGGGAACCACCAGACGCGGTGGCACCGTAACCTCGGGACATCAAATTGCCGGCGATTGAGTTCAGAAGCCCTTTCGCGTCCAAACCTCTACAAAAAAGATACTTGGAAGTAGAATACAATATTTTTTATACTATTGTTAAAAGTAAAAATAATTTAATTTAGTAGTTACCTTGCGATATCGTTTTCGTTTTCAACTGCAGCAGTTGAAACTTTTAGGAAAACACCCGAACATAAAATAACTGCAACAAGCTTGTAACTCATCTTTGCGTCAAAAGATCTAGTGGAAGAATGCTACCACATATTTTATTTATTTATTTATATAATTTCGTTATAGAAATCTCGTTTGTTATAAAGTGTCATTCTATTGTTGTTAGTCAAACGCTATTGTTTATGCTCCACGTCTTGAACAAACTGTCTTGTTTTATACATTTACTATAGAAATCACTAGAAAATCTCTTCAGTTTTTTCGAGAATGTATTGTTCAAATTGTTTGTTTTTGTTATGTAAGTAACAAGCTCGTTGGGGAAAGTGAAAAAAAAGATGTTTCATCGAATAATTTTTTAATAACATCCGTCTTTTTTGATCACAGTGTATTTCTGGAATTTTGGAAGCATTGATTATCCACATAAACCCTTCAAATGTGAGTCTACAACTGCTTTTTTGTCAGTTGTTAGACCAATTTTACAAGTCCAGTTATAGGGGAAAATATTAGTTAGGTTTATTATGCATATTATGCACTTGTTGCATCTTTATGGTACGTTTTTTTATAGAACTTTAAATTATTTACATCCTAAATCCAAGTGTTATTTTAACCAAAAAAAAAGAACAAGTTAAATGCACAATATAGGGTGCGCCAAAACTCGAGCCCCAGAGAAAAATACCGTCTAAGGTAAGATACCAGAAACATAGAAAAATGTTTAAAAAATTCTATATACGAGTACATATAAAAATTTCGAAGTTACACTGGTTAATATGGAATTTTGAACGATTTKTCATTCGATTGACATAAAAATGTAAAACGGGCCTTAGACAACTAACATCACTTGTGGTTTTTATAATTTTTATGAAAAAAAAATGACAACAAATCAAAATAATTTATTGAACTTATATAAAAACACTTATTGCTGGCATTATTGTTTAGGAAAATCAGTAGTCTAATATGTGTGTGTAACTTTTTAACTCAGATTATTATGCCTAGTTTTCTTAGTCATTTTCCTATTTTCTATGCATTTTTTTTTCAACAAAAACCATAGATTCAGTTGTTACGTCTGGCTCACATTTTTAAGAAATCATAAAAAACAGAGTAGTTTTCTTTTCGAGTATTTCTAGCATAAAAATCTGGCTCACATTTTTAAAAAGGCTATAAAAAGGATAGTTTCCATAAAAAAATGATGTTTCAATAGATAAAATGATCTTAAATACAGGTCATTTTCTCAATTTTTTGTGTTTTTGAAAAGACTTCAATGGACTGTTTTTCAAACTCAACAAACTTCATTGACTAAAACTTGAAAATCGACTTATTTTCCTAGAAAAATGATGTTCTTTGAAAAATCTGAGTTAGAAGTGAAGGGTTAAAAATCAGGATTAAAAGTCAAATTCAACGTTGTTTTTGATGTAGAAATATCGGTTTTTGTTGAAAAAAATGCATAGAAAATGACTAAGAAAACTAGGCATAATAATCTGAGTTAAAAAGTTACACATATTATTAGATTACTAAAAATCGACGCCAAAAATAAATTTCAACTAAAACTTTCAAATTTTAGTTTCAAACGTTAATCATAATGACAATAAAGCATGGCTTACTTTGACATTTTTTGAACTGACATAAAGATGTCTAAAATTCCGTGTCTGCCACTGTATGAGAATTTTGTACTTTGACTCTATTTATTTCTGTTGGAAAAATAATTTTCGATGTTTTTTTGCTACAGGCTATTAGAGTTTTTAAAGTTTTAATGTTATTTCTGGCTTTTATTGGCAAAATTTTTGTTCCTTTACTAAATAATTCTAAAAAAACACATAAAGTCGCGGTTAATTCATAGTGGCCATTTAATTGATTGCAAAGTTGGCAGCCTCTAGCCCGCCACCTCTAGTGTGTGGGTTGTATCTATGTTGGTAGCAGAATTAACTAAATTGTGTCAACAATTATGGCGAGCACAGTAGATTTTATATGTGAAGTATTCAAACCCGACATTTTCAGAATTGTTATTTTTGATAGATATGTCCCTAAAAAACAATTGGATGTTTAAAGTCGGATTTACACAACTCAATTTTTGCAAATTTACACAAGGAAGTGGCCACTATGAATTGACCGCGACTTTACAAAATCAGAAAAAAATGACAAATTTTTTTGACATGTTCCTGGTATCTTATCGTACTTGAAATATTTCTCTGAGGCGCGAGATTTGACACACCCTGTATAATATTTAAACCTAAAGTATTTCAGTTCATTAAAAATAATAAATGAAAAGTAGAAAAAATATTTTGTATAATTTTATTAGTATTATTTAAATTGCACTATAGACATGTTTACTAAAATAAAAAAATAATATGCATGTTCTCAAAACATTGAAATAATAGTTTTATGTCTGAGAGACCATTTTAACAGAAGGCTGATTTCTGTTTTCAGCAATTATAGCATTTCTTCGCCCTGATGTGTATTCTGGATAGCTCAAATACCCGTCTTTGTCGGAATCATCTTCCATCAAAACACGATCAATAAGTTCTAAAATACAAAGATTAAAAAAAACAAAACAAAATTAAAGACCTTACCAACATAATACTCAAAATCGTCAGTGGAGTGAGTTTCTTTACCTTCTTCATGTTTTTCTTCGTGAGTAGTATGAAGAATAGCGTTGAGAATCTCAAGACCGTCAAGTTTCGAATTTTTATCAGTGTCATGAACTTGAAAATAGTAAAATTCCAGTTCTTCATCAGTCATTTTAGATAAATCGGGTTCCTTGATAATTTCCTCTAAATGTTCCTAAAATGTGAACAAAGCTTTATTATAAATAATTAGAAAAAATCAAAATTGACAGACATTTAGGATTTATGAGTTATTTTTATGCAGAACGATTATCAATATTTAGCCTATCTTTAATTTAAAAGCTGCATCATTGAAAAAAATCTCACAGAGGTAAAAAAATGGCTTTTTTCACAGTTTTTTCTTTTCACTGACCTGAAGATGCTCTTTATCGTGTAAAAGCTCGGCATCCTGCATGAGCTTTTCAGGCGCAGTCTTCGTTGGCCTATAATGGACATGTTTCACGACCGCTTCTCCTCTCGGATGATGTGGCCCTCTGCTCTCGCTCGTATGTATCAAAACCATCATCAAAAAGAATCCTGGAATCATCTTGTCGGCCTCATCTCCTGTAAACAAAACATTTAGGGTGCAAGCATCGAGGGGACAACCACACACTCTGCCAGACTTTTATTGAATTTCATTGAAATCGAAGTGTTGACGGAACAAGTTGTAGATATGTAATGACGGGCTAATGAAGGGGTTCCTCTGTGACCCCCAGGGAGGGTCATTAGCGTCCGATAACATCTCTTGTTACAGATAGAGGGCGTGTGCGCATATGTGCGTTGAAAGTGTCGGCCTCAAGTGCCTTCAAGGGGCCCCCCTGGATCATGAATTGAAAGCTTTATATAAGGGGTCGAATTGCTAAACACCTGTTACATTAAAGGGGGATTAAGGGATTTGTCGCGCCTCTCTTCACTTCATACAACAAGAAAAATATACACTTACGTGAAGCTGGCTTCGGAACGAGTTTCGGATCGATCGACAGCTTCCTCAGGACATGCGCGCCAGAATTCGCGATTTGTTTCTGCAATCTGGCAGGAATGACGACTTGTTTACTCTTCCAGGCGCTGTGAGGCGCCGCGATGCGATTTTTAGAAGAAACCAACTGAATTATCTTATTATCTCTTTGAATACTTTTTAGCAATTGTATTCTCTGCCTAATAGTGCGGAAAATTAGAGATTTTTATTGCAAACTTACTTATTTGGAGAAGTTTTCTACTTTTTCAAACGCAATACTAAAAAAAATATACACTAATGCAAACAAACATAATTTTATATGTCTATAGAATAATTTTAATTAGTCTTTTGCTTCATGTTCTAAAACAGTTTAAGTGTTTGAATTATTTTCAGAAATCTTCTTTATGTTCCTAGGCCTTGTCTACATAATATATTACCTACATTAAATTAATCTCAAACAAGAATTTGTTGTCGTTAAATTAAATAAGTACAAGTAGATTTAATCTACGACTAGAAAGTGTACACAATTTGTAGAAATGTGATTGTTTCAACAACACGCATTTTATTTAGACGATAATAAAGTAGATTAGGCAAGGATTGAATAAAGTTTAACTTTCTACTAATAACATTTTTATAAAGAAATGTATTCTAATAGATGGAGACGATTTTGGGTCATAGGATTTCCGTAAATTAGGGCCGAAAAATCTCTTTTCATTATGAAATACGTTATGTTCTGTATTTAATAGGACGTTTGATCTCACCGCCCTATTAAGCCTTCAGTTGAATTCCTAAAGGAGCCTTTCGAAAGCTGTTATGAGATCGTAAATAAATTAATTCCTGTCTAAAAAATTAAAAATGATAAATTTCCAGAAAAAAACCTCTAAAATTAATTAAGTTTATAAAATAGCCTAAATATTAATTGAGATTTTAAAAGATTGATGTTGTCAAATAAGTTTGATGATTAAACAGATGTAAAGTAGAGATTACAAATAAAATAATGTAGTTGGGTTGTAGATTTAACTTGAAACAGCATGTGGTATTCAAATTGAATAATATTATATCCAACTGAGATAAAGATGAAGATTTATTAAGTTGACACGTATTGTATCCGGGAAAAAAGTGTTTTAATTTATTTAAATTATTTGTCTAATTAAAAAAGTGACAATTTTGTGAAATGTCTCTTTTATGTATCAGATAACATATTTAACCGCGTTTGTCGTCTGCGTCAGCAAAACCTTTCTATTTGCAATTTTAGTACGAGATGCGAAATGCGGTTAGTGTTAACCTAATTATTAAGCTGCTTTTTACAATTTACAATCTTCATAAAAAAATTATCACATGAGCAGATAATAGATAAACAATTAAAAAATACCTGGTGTTATTGTAGATAATGACATTGGTCAATTGGCAAGTGTTATCTACTCTAAAGTCTTAAGGTTAAACTATACTAAATAAAAAAATAAATCGTAATTCAAAAATTCTGAAAAAAACATCATAACTTTTTGATCGCCTTAGCAGCAATGTATATTGATTTGAAATTTTTAATCTACATTTATTAATCTAAATTTAAATAAAACTCTATATTTGACCATTTTATTTTTTTATAAAAAAAACGTTACGAAAGAATTTTTTGATTTATTTTTGGCGTATTGTAGATTACCTACTTATTTTACTATGCAATTTGTATTATACGTTTTTTTCATAAAAAAATAAAAACTATTGCATTTTGGAGTCCGTTACAAATACCCAAAATGAGATATAAACTCTGTGTTACTGTATGTGTGAGGTACTTTTTTAATTCCAATTGTACAAAAATCAATTTGTTTACTGTAATTCTTAAAAATTCAAAAAATTCAACCTTAACTTTATCCCACTTTCCAAAAAGATTTAACAAAATTTGGAGAGCACTTCATCCACGAGTAGCCATCGTATTTGATTGTTTAATATTTCAATTTGTGTTTGTTGTTATTATGTTTTTTACACTTTTTTACAATAGAAGTACTTACTAAGCAAAATAGGTAAGCAAAACTAAACCCTGTTAGAAATAAAGAAAATTTTTCTATTAAATTCTTCTATTAAATTTCTGATTAAAGTAGCCTGAGAGTTTAAAATTAAGTTGATAACAGTGATTAATGTAAACTCTTGCTCTTGCCTTTTCTCGTCATGTAGGGCATAAATCTAAAGTCTTAATTTTTGAGTTTTTTTCTCTATGAACCACGAAGAACCCTAAGCATACTAAGCATATTTCCCTAGCCAGTGTATATTTGTATTTACAATGGTTACAATTTTATTACCATTATTATCAACATCTTATGTGCATCAAACATCACATTAGAGGCGTCTCCTGTAACTTTATTCAACTTTCCAAAAAGATTTAACAAAATTTGAAGAGCACTTCATCCACGAGTAACCATCGTATTTGGCTGTTTAATATTTCAATTTTTGTTTGTTGTTATTATTTTTTTACACTTTTTTACAATGAAAGTACTTTTTATTGCAAATACTAAGCAAAATAGGTGAGGAAAACTAAACCCTGTTAAAAATGAAGAAAATTTGTTTGTTTAAAATTTTTGACTGTGAAATGGCCAAACAGAGCAAATTTTATTGAAATATTGCTGCATCTAAAATAATGTGATAGCGGTGTATTTCAAAAAGACAATTAGTAATATATGCGGTGTCTTTGTTGTTATGTATTTCCGAGTCAAAGTAAGCTAGTGCATTAAAATTCACTTGAGAGTTGGTTGATGTCTGTTCCTTTTTTGAATCCACGTCTCTGCAACAGATGCATCATGTAGCAACAAGAGCATCTGACAGTTTTTTTTTACTTTGCTGTCGCCAAAGTTGTAATAATCGCATAACATCATTGGCTATAACACGACCTGAAAAAAGCTTCTTCATGTAGGCAATATCCTGTTATCCTCGTCCTTGACGATTAAAATTCGTTATCGTCCCGAATAAAAGCGTTTCGAATGCGTGAAAAGCGTCGGTTTTTCGCCGCTTCCTTCGAGCCGCATGAATATTTCGCTCGACGTCGTCCGCCTCCACCGCCGCCGCCGCCGCCTCCGCCGTCAAAAATCACGCGCTGGATTAATTCGAGGGTTTCAATTTGGCCAAGTTAAATATGTATAGTTGTGTTGTGGGGTGTTTAGCGCCTCATGGCGGCCTCGGCTGCAGAGTGCGATGTTCAACAACGCTGCGATGGCGGTGATCAATAAGCCGGGGCCCGGCGGCGATGTGCGGTTTCCATGGAGACACCCGGCACCACAGCTACCACGCCACCGCACGCACAAAAGTACCGACGATGGATTTTTTTAAATACCGAAACGGACAGACCACCAGACCAGGGGACACCACGATGGATGCCGGCGAAAAGGCGAAGGCGAAAAAGGAAAAACGCACATTTGAATATTTAATGGAATTTTTAACGAAAAGGATAATCATTTACTCAGGTCAACAGTCACAAAGTTGTGGTAAATGACGTCGCAGCACAAGAAATACCAAAGAATTGTGACATGATGTAAAAATTGTAAATTATGACACCCAAAATATTAAAAATTAAACTTCACCATTTCTTCTATTCAATTTCTGATTAAAGTAGCCTGAGAATTTAAAATTAAGTTGGTAACAGTGATTAATGTAAACTCTTGCTCTTGCTTTTTCTCGTCATGTAGACCATAAAAGTCTTAATTTTTGAGTTTTTTGTCTATGAATCACGAAGAACCCTAAGCATATTTCCCTAGTCAGTGTCTTTGTATTTACAATGATTACAATTTTATTACCATTATTATTATCATCGAACATCACATTAGAGGCGTCTCCTGTAAAAATTATAATTCGGTTACTCTAGGTTTGTATAGTAAACCCATCAGAAAGTCATTTTGTAACTTATTCCTGAAAAAATTAAAGTAACATCATTGTCAAAAAAATAAAACCGCCAATGTGATAGAACTTAAAAAACAGAGAAAAAAAAGTCCAAAATCAAGAAAAAAATTAACTTTTCTTTATACTGAGTTAGATTAATGAAGTTTTAATTACAGATTTGTTTGTTTCAGGTAAAGCAAAAAATATTTTTCCTTAGCAGTTATTGCGTAAAATCAAAGATAAAAAAATTTCCTCTTGGTAACTCAACCCGGAGACATAGTGTATGTTTTTTCATAATAATTCAGTAAAGGTACAAAAACTTTGCCAATAAAAGCCACAAATAATCTTAAATATTATTTCCATTTCTTCGTTTCCTCTTCTAATAGCATACAGCAAAAAACTTATGAAATCCCCCCCATAACTTCGAAATTTTTATAGTTAAGTTTTTTTACATTTTTCTTAACTTGATTTTTCTGGAACGCGAGTTCTAAAACACTCTACAGAACTTCAATATCAAATCTTCCTTTGCAGTTTATTTTACTCAATGTAGCATTTGGTTCTACAAAATAAAGATATCAAAAACTTTCCAATTCGTCATTATCTCTTTTGTTTCAAAGAATAAGATTAGTACTTGGAAAAAGCAAAACATTCGAAAAATGACTCAGTAAATCTTTTTTTAAATAATGGCAACACTGCAACTGCATTTTTGATGGCCACCAAAGGAAAAGAAAAAAATCTGTGTTAAAATTTTCACGTTCACATCTTTGAGTGTTCCAACTGATTTTTAACATTTTTATCTTTATGCGTTTTTACGTTTTTTTTTATGTTTGCATCTTTTAGAAACAGAAAAATTGCAACGATATGAGCCGGGCTAGAACTTCATTCGTTAAAAAAGCTTAGTAAAGAGTAACAATAAGTTTTCTAAAAACGATGACATTTATAAAACATTTATAACATTTAAATTAACTGTCAATGTTAATGTGATAAAAACATAAACATAAGTCTGAAAACGATTCATCTATGAGATAAAAAAACTTTAATTGAAAAAAAAAATTAAATTTAAGGAAAAACATAATAACTGCAGAAATTGCTTAAAATGTTTCCACTGCTTTAAATGAATGAAACTAACCAATTGGTTCACAAATGCCATCGTTTTTAATTTATCATGAGTTGTGCAAAATACATTATTTCTTGCTAAGCTAACGA